CTCTCGACTTGGATCTTTTGACATACCCCTGTTCACTTTCACGACGACTCTTCTATCTCGGGAGGTAGCTACGGGTACACTAGGTACAGCTATGATCCCTGCAAACGATAGGGCGTGTGACTGGGCGTGAATCGGAGCCTGCCAAGATGCCACCAAACATGCCATCTCGAGCTGTTCTGGCTGCAGCCCAACTCACGAACCTTCAGACACACTAACAATTCTAGGGATTACGTCTGCACAGTCTTCTTCGCTGCGGACGTGTCGGGCAGGGAGAGGGCAAACTCATCGCGGCACCACACCTTTCTCTACCTATTGTGATGGCTGGCAGGCTACAACCGCTGGAAAAGTGGCTGGTGCCGCGCTGAAGCCACCAGCTCCTTGACACACTCCAGCGTCTGCAGCGATTGCTACTGCAAGTTGATCTCTCATGTGGAGGCGAGGGGTGCCGTGACAACCCACCACGTTGGTTTGAAATCGCAAGACTGTTTGGTTAGTCCAGCTTCGAGTGATATTCTCAATTTCATCTTTAGATGCTAAAGTGGAAATCTCTCCTATGGAATTGAAGTGGGAATTTGAAGAAGGACAACAGATCTTCAGAATTACTAACAATACAAAGGCACGTTTTGCCATCAAGGTCAAGTGTACTGATGTTGATATGTACAGGTAAAGTCCTTTCAAAGAAAACCCGTCGATGTTGTTTCGGTGCACACTACTACTTCAGTGTCTCACCTGTGACAGATTTTGTGGATTCTGGCAAAGTTCTCACGATTGCTGTCGTACGTGCTAAAGGACCATTCAAGAAGGATAGAATAGTGGTTTGCTCCAAGCAGGTAAAACGACTTCAGTTGAATTCTGACCCGCACTCAATCTGTAAGACAGACGTAAGACAATTCAGGTGTCTGCTGATGAGAAGGATGCTGCTGAAGCTTTCAAAACCGGAATTCCAAATGTAGACGTAATCAAGATGGACCAATTTATCAGACAAAACCCTTAAGACGATGATAAAGAATTGAAATTTTGCGTCGAACAGCAGATCATCTAACCGATCACCTTGAATAGCATTCGCTATATCACTTGACCATTCAAGATTCAGAATATGCACTCGGTGCTTAGCATTTCGCTATACATTTCGAATTTCTTCATGTTATGACCGGGTGGAAGGGTTGGGATGTGCATTGGCGGTTTCCCTACCCGACCATGTAGAATGTCTTAGGGAAATTAGGAGAGTCTACCACCCTCTGGGGTTATGTCGCGCTAAGAATTGAGGCAAATGCCTACCTGCCCACCACGGGCATATTGGGCATATCCCAACGTTTGATATGTCTAAACGATATAGAATCCTACTATATATAATCCGCTAAGTGTGTCTGTGTGCGTGTGTTGTGTGTGTCATAAAATTCAAAACACCTGTCCAGTTGGTTTCTTATTTGAACGTTGATTCTAGGAAGTGATGGGAGGGGGTTGTGACGGGAACACCATTTTAGGTGTACCAGATGGTCTCAGTTGGATTAAGATCGATAGTAGGCGTCTGGCCACCAAAGTCCATAGTGCGGGAGCCACTGTCAAGAAGTGCGCCGACGTTGGTAACGAGCATGATTGAAATTAGGCGCTGGGACGAGAAACATTGATGGAGGGGGCGAGAGAGAGAAGAGCTGATAAGGTCTGATAAAAACAGGCATTAGAAGGGAAAGGACTACGCAATTCATAGTGCGGCGTGACGAGGACACGTGGGTTTCTCATTAGGATCGAAAAGAGGTGATATAGGCGTGCGAGACGGAAGAGCAGGGTGACAGAAAGTGATGACAGTTGATAAGATCCGATAAGCGGCCTCGGAAAGGGAGGGTCCTCAAATTAGTAACGCAGGTTACAGCAACAGTGGGGGGAACGGGTCGGAGTCGTCGGGAGGGATGGGTGAGAATATGATAGGTGCTAATGGGGAAAAAATCCCCGGAGATTTATTAATTGGGGCGGTACGGAAAGTTGATTAGAAGCTATTATTGGACGAGGTAACATGGAAAACGCCGCTTCACATCACGAACAACAATGCGAACGGCCGCCCCGTTGTTGTTATCTTGTATTGTTGTATTGAATGCAAGTATAGTGGACGAGTCAGTCAGGTGGAAGTTGTTCCAACGAGAAAGTCATTCTGCGGCTGCTTATTAGTAACGACATCGGTACGAGCGATAAGGCCAGCTCTATTCCAAATGCATGTGGTTTGTTTACAGAGATGTTATGAAGAGCAGCTACTGACTTTATCACTCTTACCACAATTATCTTCCATCAACAACTTTAGTGAGGGCCATTTAAAGGGTTTTCCACTGCTGAATGGGGAGTGCATTCCAAAGCAAGACGCTTTAGGAAGACAGATTGCATAAATTATAGGCTGCTTCAGTGGCTGTCCAAACAGGCTGCACTATTTCCGTGTAGGTTATGAACGTACCAGTCGGATCGCTGGCTAAGGCCGGCTTTCCTCCTTCTGTGATGCGGGGGGGGGAGCTGCTGCTGCTGCTAGTCTGGCGCTTTGACGGAACAGCGCTGTTTATTATTTCTTGGCTGATAAGATTCCATTGAATCAGTGTGGTTTGGGTCCAATAAGCTAGAACCGTAGCGAAGCGGCAATCGCATGGCCCGGCGCTAAGCCGGGCCATTTCACAGAAGGAGGAGCGCCCGGCGAGAGCCGGGCGATCCGACTGGTAGAGAATAAATGAAGGCATAACCAATTATTGTACGTTTGTTGCTACATAACAGAACAACTATTGACTAGCTATTTATGTGGAACTACACTGATGTTGAGACACTGACTAAAATGCAATCCATGTATACAACAAACGAACTACAACATGAACAACTATGGAAACAAGATAAGAGGAATTAATGTATGGCTAACAAACAGCACATTGACCAGAAAGAAGCACGTGACGTGGCAGTGCTATGGTCCATAAAGACGTATATCAGACGATGGAAGTGCGACCGCTCGGCAGGATGACAGGAGAACCACCTGACTGGGAGCGCGGGCCGAGTGCAGAGAAGCAGAATAGCTTCCCGCGCTTTGAGCTTCTTCCATCAAACTGACATTTACGGTAGGATGAAGATGAAGGCGCATATCATAGACGCTTCCAGGTCGTATGCCAATCACGACACTTCAAACTTGTATGCAGATACGTTACTGGAGTAGATTACACCTGAAACTTACTATATAGGACTGCGCTCTCAATCATTGAATCTTTAATCGTCGGACGGGAAGGGCTCTTTCCTCGAAGAAAAGCAAACTATGGCAGTTATAAGATGCATTACAAGATATAAGATAAGTTACAATATATTGAGATACATTATAAGATTATAAGATATAAGATAAGTATACATGAACAGTTATGTAGATATCAGGAGAACAGATTAGTTTGTGAAGCAGGACGTGTTTCTCGGAGAACAAAATTTTTGAAGGACTAAATGAAAATACAAACTGCAGAAAGAAAAATTACAGTAACTTCGAAATCAGGGCGTTGTTGGGGAATCTCCAAGAGGGGTCGTATTTGCTCGCCAGGAAAGGGGGTCGTATTTGGGCTGGGAAAATTTATTTTGATAGTTGATTTTTCTCGCTTCATGGACGTTGTAAGGGGGGGGGTCGTACTTGGTCATTGTTGGGAGGGGGTCGTATTTACGTTTTGGCGTTGTAGGAGCGGTGGTTGACTTTTTGTGATTTTCCTGTTTCATGCTACTATATACCACCGCTCGACAAAAAATTTCTGGGGAAAAGTAGAGAACTTCTCGGAGAATTTTGGAAAAAGTGGTAGGAAGTCGGGGAAAATCTGAAAACTGTAGAAGGGAGGGGGTCGTGTTGTCTCGCGGCTTTTCCTGTTTCACATGTGCTATTTACCTCCCCACACCCCCGCTCGACGGCTCGATTCGATGAGGATGGATAGCCGGAAGGGCCCTCTGTCCATCATCATCGAATCGTACAGACTCGACTAAAATCCCCAACCAAGGTCGTCCAGAGCTTGCCTCGCTTTTCCGGATTTTTTTTTGCTTTTTCAATGGCTTGCAAAGGTAGGGTTCATGTTCGCTGAGCGGTTCCATTAACGACAAAAAGGAGTGGAAAAAATACTCTATGTACTCTAATGTAGGGCACATTTGGCGCTATTCTGGCGTCAAATTGCGTCGACGTCGAAAAAATGTCTCAGAATTGTAATCAGGACGATTGGCTGTCCCTATAAACGTACTTGTAGACGAGTTAAGCTTTTGATTTTTTGGGTTGTGGTAGACCATTTGGTTGGAAATTATGACCGGAGTCTCAAACTTTCTTGGCGGTGATGACGTAATGATGACGAAGCAGGCCGCCGAGCATCCGTGTCCCAATATGGTGTGCCCAAAGTCCTTCCACCCTCGGCATAAGCCCAGGTGACCTGTAGAGTATGAAAAAACCATGTGGATTTCCCCCGACTTTGGTAGGCGACTAGTCCTCTCTGGCAGGAAATGTCGCTCCCTTCACCGAAGAAAAAAGACTAGACTTCACATATTCACGACTTTTTACTGCACTCTACTTACCCTCTCCCTCGTTCTTCTCATGAGCATATTTCCGGATTCAGCACTAGATAGTTTCAAAATCTTTATTGTAGTGCGGCATGATAAATAAATAAATGAATAAATAAATCCTTCTAAGCCAGAACAACGGGACCTGAAATATGTGAAAAGTTGCGCACTGCGGGGATTGTACCAGCTAACCTCCTCCCATTATCACTATCCCGGCCGAGAAAATCCTCACACGTTTATTCACTATGCCCATCTTCGATCTTTGTCAGGTACATGTGCAGCTCTAAATTGTTGAAGAAACGGACCTTCTAAGAGAACAATCTCTTTCAGGCAAGCGATACAAAGGTGCTAATTGCGACTATTTTCCACACCACCCTTCCACTACGATAGTCCCTCCAGAGCGATCCTCCACCAGCAGCTGGTCAAAGTTGCACGCGGTCACAGCGCATAGAGGCACAAGAACGATGAGCAGGGTACAGCATGGGGATGTGCAAAATGGCGGTGTGAGTACGACCCTTCCCCCTCGAGGAGAGCCAGCTTACACCCCCCCCCTCCTGCTCTGAGATGCATGTTCACCACAAATGGCTTCCTGAAATGGAATCTGGATTTTCGAAAGGCGGACTCTGCTCTTGAATCCAGGCAATAAGAGGCTGAACAACAGCATCGCATTACCTACAGTTTTGCCTTAGGATCCTACTATATATAATCCGCTTGTGTTGTGTGTGTGTGTGTGTGTGTGTGTGTGTGTGTGTGTGTGTGTGTCACGAAATTCATAGCGAGCGTCGCAGAAAAGATAGGATGACAGTTCCAAGAAGTGATATACATGGCAGGACGGGAACACTTTTGGTGGGTGTCAGGAGGTGATAACACTTGATAAGATACGATAAGGGGCCGTAGAAGGGGAGGGTGACTGAATTCGTAGCGCAAGTTGCAGCAGGTGTGGGACCGTGATTTCAAGGAGTGATATACATGGCAGGACGGGAACACTTTGATGGGTGACAGGAGGTGATGACACTTGATAAGATTCGATAAGGGGCCTTAGAAGGGGGGGGGTGACCAACATCTAGCGCAATTTGCAGCAGCTGCAGGACCGTGATTTCAAGAAGTGATATACATGGCAGGACGGGAACACTTTAGTGCGTGACAGGAGGTGATAACACTTGATAAGATTCGATAAGGGGCCTTAGAAGGGGGGGGGTGACCGAAATCGTAGCGCAAGTTGCAGCAGCTGCGGGACCGTGATTTCAAGAAGTGATATACATGGCAGGACGGGAACACTTTTGATGGGTGACAGGAGGTGATAACACTTGATAAGATTCGATAAGGGGCCTTAGAAGGGGGGGGGTGACCAAAATCGTAGCGCAAGTTGCAGCAGCTGCGGGACCGTGATTTCAAGGAGTGATATACATGGCAGGACGGGAACACTTTTGATGGTGACAGGAGGTGATAACACTTGATAAGATTCGA